GACTGAAGTCGCTGGAATAATACTATAACGTCTTACAAATGATGTTAAAATTGGTAACATATGTTGTTTTCGATTCCAAAATGTTTCAAAATCTGTTGACTGTTTATATATTGACATGTACATACTAAACTCTTCTTTAAGAGATAATGGTTTTACTGTTCGTGTTGGTTTTGTTGTAAGTGTATCTGTTACCGATGTAATATTGCAGGCATTTTTAAACTGTGTCATAATTGAAAATGAACGTTTCGTATTTGGAAGAGAAGATGATGATGTAAGTTGTTGTTGTTGAAGTTGTGACTGTGTTGTAGTTGTAATTCGCTGTTGTGGCTCACCACGAAGTGCTTTATTTTCATTAATAATTAATGATTCAGCTTCACTGATTTCTTCATCAGATAAATCAACAAGTGTATTTGGATCTAAATACGCTGCAATCTAAAAATAGAAAGACTTGAATAGACCTATCTGGTAATAGAAATAGGAGTGCTGCGACAGAAAAAAAGCTTTCTTGTTTGTAGAGATAATGGCTGAGAGTGATGTTGAATGATCTCTGTAGGCACAAGTTTTTTATTAAACAATAGATATACTTAGAGGTCATATGATTTTTCGCTTGATCGTTAGACTATTCAACAAGAGTGGTCTACAATGTCTTAAGTTTTCAAGGATATTTCTAGTTACCTTGGAATCTATCTACGTGAGTTCCTCAAAAAAGGATCAATGAGAGAGATAAATAAAATTCAACTGGACTTCTCACATCAACTTTTCAAAACAATCAAAACTTGTCTTCTGCAACAACCTGGAAACCAGAATCAGCGAAGAACAGCTACGAAAATCCGATGACCCATGGTCATTTCTTGTATCCTATTAGACGTACAATGTTTACATCAATCTTTGATTGATTTCGATTCTTCTTCTGGTTTAGAAGACGAACCTTGATTATACCAATTACGCGACTAGGATTGACACTTTAACTGTAAACTTTAAAAAAAAAGGGAGTTAAAGTTAAAGTGAAACACTTTAAACTTCAAAAGTAAAGTCAGAGTACCGTACTCTAAGCTTTAACTTTAAAAAAGTTAAAGCTTAAAGTAAATTTTTTCACAAAAATACGTTTTTTTTTAAAGGAAGCATTTCTTCCTTTAAAAGTATTTTGTTTATAAAAAAGAAATGTTTTTGGCTAAAAAGATCACACTCTTCGCATGAATTTTGTTTCTTACGAAAAGAAATAAAATTTTTACTAAAAATAATTTTTGTGAAAAATCTACTTTGACTTGTTTAAAGATAAGATTTAAAGTACTACCCTTATACTCAACATGAAAATATTAAGAGAAGTTCCTTTTCATTTTCTGATTAGTTATTTGCCTTATGAAAAGCACAATTGAGTGTCCGATATTGTTTTTATTAAACTTGTAATACAAGCTGCATATTTTTTCTTGCTCTCTTTCGACTTACCAATTTACCATTTCTTTGTTCTGGTGTTGCTTTTGATTCAAAATATAATATGAACTTGTTTAATAATAAACGTTTCAATACATTTTCTAATGGATTAGTTGTTGCTGTTGATAAAAATGTATGAAGATTTTTTTGAACCCAATAAGATAATGATAATGTTACATATTTGCTGCCTGATAAGCACAAAGTAGCCAAAGAAAATGGAGCTAGAACATTAGCTAAACCTTGTAATAATTCCCAGTCTAGATGACTGTTTGTCAATGACTTCAATTTTTTAATTTGTTTGAATTTTAAACCAATATGTGCTTGTGGTGTATATGTTATATCATTGATAATTTGCTGAATTGATATTACACGTATGAGCATAAGATAAGTTGAGTTCCAACGAACATAAAAATCTTTGACGAGTTCATTTATTTTGACGTTGTCTTGACCATTTGAATTATTGATTGTATCTAAATCAATTTTTTTTCGTTGAATTTCACTACGAATAAATGAAGTCAAAATACTGGATTTGTGTATCATCGATATTAATTTTCGTAATTTTTTAAGTAAAAGATTAATTTTAATCTTTAATTCTTCAGAATTTGATAATAATTTTTCCAATTCTTGTTGTGGTTCTTCTAGTTGTCTTTCTTGTTGTGATGATGCTAAATATTCTTCTTCTTCTTCGCTGCTGGTGTTGCTATTTGAAGAAGTATCAGTTTCATTTTCATCAGATTTTTTTACTATTGGATCATCATCTTCCGAATTGTTGTCATCATCTTCAATAAATTCATCAGGTACCTCGTCGTTATCAATTACTCTCATCTCGTTCAATTCTTCATCAGAATCATGGTTAGAAGAAGTTGTTGTTGGCGGTGAAGGTGATTTTTTTGACCTAAAAATAAAAAGTATTAAAATCACTGTCATGACTTTAATTTTTTTAACGAAAGAAAAAGAAAAAAGTCAAGCAACAACAATGTCTCTCTGTATGTATGAGGAAAAAAAGTAGAATCATCCGAGCTATAAAAAAAACACTATACGATAGTCATGACGTAACAGATCCCAACGAATACTAGAAAAGAAGAAGAAACAACGAATATATGGCAGACGCGGTGAGAAAACTAGATATTTAAACATGATAAAGACAGTGAGAGAATTAAAAGTTACAAATAAGATAAAGTATAAGGTATGGTAATTGAAGAGGCAAAGTTATAGACTGAGTTGGTGGTGTGCTGCAAAGGAAAAAGAATTTGTTTAGGAAACCAACGGATATAGATCATTTACATGGATCCGCAAGTAAGTGCAGGCAACATCACTCATCTATTACCATTTTTATAATATAATATAATTCTTTGAGATTGAATAGCGTCTTCTTCGTACACAATTGATTGAATAAAAATTATATCATTCAACTCCTTGTTCTATACGTAATTCATATGTACATTTGTCAAAATGGCAAGAGAATGTAAAAAGAAAATGACAAGGCAGTGGTTAACAAAAGAAAGATACTACATGCAACGAATCATTTTTAGTCTTCATCTATATTGGACTCAAAATCTTTTTTCACTCTCCTGTCGCTTTGACCAATTTATGTATGATTTACATTCGGCCCAAAAAGTTGAGCGACTTAACTTTCATCCAATAAACGACCTATGAAGAAGGCGTTATTATACCTCAAAACATGACATTACATTGTGGAATAAATCAAGAGAATTTTTCAAAATAAAAAAATTCAGTAGTAATCAAAATAAAATAAATGTATTCCTATATTTCAACTACTTGATTAGAAATTTGCGTAAAAGATGCTATAATGTGAATTTGACAGCTGAAAGCTATTCAAATAGCATTAATTGATGCAATATTAAAGCTTCTCCAAAAGTACTATTATTGGTAGAAATCAGAAAAATCAACCGAAATCTTATCTTGATCTTTTCATTATCGAGTATGACTTACCCATCGAATATTTAATGTGCATAGTTGCAATAAAAAGGCCTTTAGAAAATTATTATAAATATACTGAAAGACATGTCTTTGGACATATTCTTTCTAGTGATCTTCAAGGGAATCAAAACGTTAAAAAACGAGAAGAAAAATATTTACTCTGTATCGGTTAATATTTTTCGCTCTGATAGACTCGATAATAGCAACTATACTGTTGATGTCATTTATTCCTATCTTTTGAATTATGTTCATGACTATTTTTCGTATCCCTTGGATCTAAATCATAAAAATTCAATATTTGATCGATGCGTTGTACTTAATCTTAAATAGTGAAGTATAAGATTTCTGATGTTATGGTATTGTTTCTATCGATGTTAGGTTTGAAACAAATATGTAGATTCGATTATCTGCTCTCAACAATGATAGATTAATCAATTGAAAAAACAACAACAAAGTAAGCAATATTATTTTCAACGGTATTACTGCTACAATTGATTGTACTACTGAGAAATCACGAAGTTAAGAAAAAGCTCGTGTTTAAGGAAAACTTCAAGATAAGTTTTTTTTTCTTTTGAATGTGATAGAAAACAAGTAATTAACTTCTGTTCCATGGAAAAGTGTTTGACAAGAAATTCTACTCAAATCGCTATTTTCAGTCACAAATGAGAAATTCTCTGGGTTTTCAGTTTTATTCAAACTGTCTTGAATCAATTAAAAATTGTTAAGACATTACAAAGTAAACAATAAATCTCAATTGATTAAAGTTAGTTTAGAGAAATTAAGTCAATCCTAGAAATTTGTATTTGGTGCTGAAATCGGTAACTTTAATTGGATTAAAACTATAACTTTTTGATCGGATTTTGCAGACGATACAATCGATTGTCATTAGGTTTCTCGGCAAATAGTTTTACATCAGTAGTCACTCACAAGTTAACAACAAAATATAATCAAATACTTTACTTTTTTTGTTTTGGAATTTTCCATAAGCATAAACTTGACGACACCATTAAATTAATATTATGTGCATCACATGAATACCACGTTCCAAATTGTTTTGTTGACATTGCAGCTTTAATATCACTACCACTGTCGGTCGTAACAGCTACGATTTTTGATTGAATATTTAATTTTTCGATTTCTTTAATAACAAATGAATTCAAACGGTAAGCCAAATGACGACCACGAAAACGACGGAAGCAGATGACTTTTGATGAATGTTCCATAAGTGCATCAAAATAATGAGCTGTTATGGTTAAAAAATGTGTACGACGTAAATTCAACCATAAATCTATAGTTAATGCAATAAATGGAATTTTTTTCATTGATTCTCGTAATGAAGTACGATGCTGTTGATATAACTTGTCCAAATGTTTGCGGACCGTCTTTCTAGACGGCCCATGATAACCTGGAATAATTATTTCTAAAAATTTTTGCATGCCAGGCCGTCTGAAAATTCCAAAAGCATGACCATCATCGACGATGCATTGAATTGCTGCTGTATCAAATCGTTGCTTATCTAACAATGCAATTGTTGATGTAAATTTTTTACTATTTCTTTGTTGCAACTGAGATGGAAATAAATATTGATGCATTGCATGTTTAAAACCTAGATGGCTTCGTAGATTTGTATCCGAATATTGCATAGCTTTATATTCCTAAATAAGACAATAAACTAGTTATTCTGTAGATGAATTACAGGATTTTGGGATAAGAAGTCAGAGAGAAGTTTTTACCTGTGAACAAATCGAACATTTATATTTACCAGTTTCATTTATAAATGTAAAATATTCAACAGGTTTTTTTTCAATATTTTTGTTTTTATTCGAAGTAAGATCAATAACTGTATCAGCACTTGCATTAGATAAATTCAATAAATTATGTTGTTCATTATTATCATGTTGCTGAACCACATTATAAATAGCACCATCACTTTCCATCTCATCAGCAGTATCATTATTAGAATGGCAAGCAACATCTTTTACTTTTCCTGTTGATTGTTTTAATTTTGATGTTCGATTAGCTCTACGAGAATTATGTGTTTTTGAAACACATCCTTGACTTACTGATCCACCTGCCGAACTAGTCACCGTTCTCGAATTGGTTCTTGTTGAACTTCTTCGAGATAATATTGGTGTACTATGCCGAATAGATGATGATGGTTTGAAATTCTGTGCAGATGATGAACCAGTAGTGTTACTTTTATTCATTGAATAGCTTGGGTGAAACAGCTATGATCGTTAGAATGAAATCGATAACTATTTTACTTGTAAGTAAAAGAAAATGAAGCAAACCATTAAAAAATGCGAAGAAAAACACTAACGATTTTCTTTTTTTTTTTTCTTAGGCAGACATAAACATGTTGATACAGTCATGTAAACATACAACAGCTCTTTTTTTTGTGAAGGATGAAGTGTTTTTATATTCAGTATTTTTCTTCTTTTCCTCACCATCATAAAAAGAGGACAGCTTTACTTCTACGATTCAACGACGCCTATGTGCAATTGAATTAAATGGGTGATGTAGTAAAAACTAGATAGCTTTTCATTTCCAATTGTTCTTGATACAATCTCGATCGTTTTTTTCTTAATTATTTGCCGTGAAAATCTCTACAATATTTTATTTCAGGCGTCAGCATGAAAAATCGAACATTTAATATCGTCAGACATCGACTTTATAAAAGCTTTCCTTCAAATCATGTACGTTGCGTATCGTAGAAAATTTCTTGAAACAAGTTTTTTGTACAGTCAAATTTGCTCTTTTTCGTGATGTAGAGGTAATTCCTTGATAACTGATCGAAAATAGCCAAAACTTAACTCATGTTACTAATTTCAGTCTGAGTTTTGAATGTCGCACATCATAAAACAAAGATACTGTCTCTGATATTGGACATGCAAACGCTTCAATTTTTTTTCAATAAATTTTCCATGCTGACATTTGAAATTACACTTTTCTGTAAAGAATATTACGGTACATCCTTGAAAAAAAAAATAGTCCATTGTTCCCAAGATCAATCGTCATGCTTTTGTTTAACAATCAAAATGAATATATATACGACTTTAGTTCGAAAGTGTCCTATATTTTAGGTACTTGTTCTGCATATCCTCTATCTTAGAAAACAATCATACAGATGATACTAACGTGAGTCATATTTGATCATAAAAAGATAAATACACTTTTCTACACGCATGGTACATTAAAAGCTGATCTTTTAGTGAATAAAATAAGTGTATGAACGACTTTTTTAGAATGGCATATATGAAATTTAACAGCAGCGAAAATTTGTAACAGACAATGTCAGAATTTACTTTCGCAGTTTTTCTGCGAAAATAAATTCTATACAGATTAACTTTATGATGTATAATATTGACATTGTGCAATTACATTTTTTAGCACTATTTAATATTGACAATATGACGTAAACATCGAATGTTTTTTTCGTTTCTTTGTATAGTGTACATATAGGCTGTTTTAAACTAGCAAACTGATGTATTTTGCTATACGATGACGTGTTTATATACTAAACTTATACCCATATACCCACGTCCACACTCTTAGTGATAGTTATAAAACTTACAGTTAATAGATGTTGACGAACACTGCGCCTACATAAAAATAGAGAGAAATATGGAACAACTCATATGTTTTATGACGACCCGCAATCGAATTAGATGAAGTAAAATGTAGAGTCTTAAAGCAACAAATTTTACAAAGAGATAACACTTTTTTCAGTTTTTTTTATCTTGAAAAATGAAAGAACAAGATAGAGCAGTGCATTAAATAAAATGTTCGTGGGCTAAGAATAGCCTAGGAGCCGCTAGCCGGAAGCCATTATACCGACATATGAAAACTTTATTAAAGTCATTTTTGGATTTGCAACATCAAGTTCTACGAGCTCAAGAAGTTGAAAACGATTCGGATATAGTCCATGTAATTATGGTATGGTTTCCAAAGAATTACCTTCTGAGATTTGATGTATATTGATATAAATCTGAAGCGAATAGTTGCGCGCTTCATTCCTGCAGACATCATCTTTGCTATACGTGCCTGTGTCAAGAAAATGCCTTTACAAAAGAGAGTCATTGTTTCTATTCTAGCGTTGATTTACGGCAAACATACATGGCTAATCTGGCTGAAATAATGCACTTAGAAATAATTTGTTCCATTGAATATGTAGTTTTGAAAGAGAAAGCATATTTACAAATAGCTAATTTAAGAATAGTATCAAGGAATACTTTTCTAATGACAAATCGTGATAGAAGATGCTATCATCAGCGTAGAAGTACTTTCATTTTATCGCACATTATGCATTATTTATGAAGATTTGATGATATAGGTTAAATACCAGAAAAAATTCTGTACGAGTTACAGCAGAACTCCTTGTTGTCACTGAACTCCGATGTAAACGTGATATGTGTTAGATGAATATACTCAAGAAAGATTTCTTTATTATATTGAATAAAAACTCATTGAGTAGTTTTAATCATGTCATGAGAATGTCGTACTTTTCTTTTGTAAAAACAAGAAAACAAGTTTTTATTTATTTATTCGTAAACTTTCTTGCGTTTGTTGTTCTTCGCAAGTATCTTGTTTTCTATCAAGTCATCTTCAGTATTTCATGATTTTTGTCGATTTAAAAATGCGTTCATATTCTATTCAGTTGCTGATCTATACAGAAAAGTGACCTTTGGTCTTCGACCATACGCTGATGTTTCTCGCCATTCTAAACAATATCATTTTAGTGGAAAGAGAGGTTTTTGATAAATTCATTTTTCAAATTCTCTATTTTCAGAAAGTGTGAACATATATCTGGTGGATACGATTAACTATAATCAGTAAAACTCAAATTCACTATCGCTTCTCGAAACAATTGACATAGAAATTCAAGTATTAATCTAACGTCATCTACGTGCTTATCAAACATGACGTTGCCGGTAAGATTGATTTCAGTACGTCAAATCCCGGAAACATCAGTTCAGGATGGATTCATTTGGGTACATCAGATGAATGATAAGTGGATCCCTTTTTCTGATGCTGAATCATCAATAATTGAAAAAGCCTTTCGACAAGATCTGGAAGAGGTATTTATTGATGAAATGTATCGTATTGATTTAAAGCGCTTCGTACAAGAACATATTGATGATCGAAACAGTAGAAAATCGATTCGACGACGACGACGACGACGACGACGTTCTCATAAATCATCAATTTCGAACGATGAAGCAATCGAAGATGAATCTCGACGTTGTGAGCGATTCTCATTTCCTTTGGGATTAGTTTCAAACTGTAGTGTAACTATGGATACAAACTATTATGGCTCACCATTTATTGAAGAATGGTTTCTGGCATTCACCAACGGAAAACGAAAAGTTACATTCAATTCTATTTTTCCTGTCCTTATACAAGGTTTACA